TTTTTGGTCCATTATGACCCCTAGTTCCCTAACGCATCCCAGAATCATGTTTGACACTGTTGCAAAAAAAAGCAAACTATTGACTCATGTTTAACTTGTGGTCCATTATGACCCCTAAATCTCTTTCAGCAGTACTCCTTCCTAGACAATCACTTCCCTTTCTGTATGTGTGAAACAGATTGCTCCTTTCTAAGTGGAGTACTTTGCATTTGTCGGTATTGAATTTCAATCTGATCACCTCAGACCATTTCTCCAATTTGTGCAGATTATTTTGAATTATGACCCTAACCTCCAAAGCTCTTGCAACCCCTCTCAGCTTGGTATCCTTTGCAAACTTTATAAAGTGTATTCTCTATGCCATTTTCTAAATAATTGATGAAAACAAGTAAAGACACATTATATGATCACCCAGCAGTAGGATCAGAAAAGAAGAATCCTATTATGAATATGTTTGTATAGCAACACTTGTCTCTACTGCCAACAGGAACATACATTAAACTAGGTACTCCTGTTATCAATGGTTATAAACTTTCCAGAGAATTCTATTAACAAATGTTGTATTTTCTCAACTGCTGACTAAAAATAAAGCTGATACTTTTAGTTTTAATAATTTTTCTTTAAGACTCTGCAATACACTAACCTCTATCTCCTCTCACACAACTTACACCACATCCCTAATCAAAGCACCTTGAATTGAAGGTAAAGAATCCCATTAATTCCAATGGTCTGTGGATCAGGCTCTCACCAAGGAAATTGTCACCTCCACCCTCAAGGGGCTGTTCAGTACTTTCTGATCTTGCTGAATCAGATAGCAGAAACATGGGCAAAATTGGTATTTTTCTTTCCTGTTTATGCAAATATTACTGTTATTGTTTAAGTTACACATTGGATACTTTCCCCAAAAGCTTCATAGTCAGAAGCAGAACTACAATACATATTTTTCTTTATTTCTCTTTACTGAATAATTTCATCCATTATAGCAATGTACTGAGTAATTCATTTTCAAGACACTTTCTCAAGTGATCAGACCCTTACCTGTACTTGGAATTAGTTTACATTTAGTACTGCATGTGTGCAGAACTGCTGGAAAACAGTAATAATGCACAATATTTCATGTGTCTTTCTCCACTTGCTTTGTGCAGAGCCTTTCTATCCTAAACCAGGCAGTAGATTTTTGATATTTCTTGTTTAGGGCACCGTACTAATGCCATGTACTGTGTGGGAAGTTTGTGCAGTAGAGAGATACCCCAGTCTAAAACTCTGTTTGCTTTGGAGCAATATTACAAAAACAGAGCCTGAAGAACAAGACAAGAAATGTCTAATATGAAACAACATCCCTTGTGCTATTTTTCTATCACGGTATTGCTTGCTTCCTTCTGATTGCATGATATTTTCAGCAGATATTGAGTCAATTATGTGATAGCCACTTTTCAATATTAGTGTAAATAATTCAAAGTGTTTTCTACTAATCATACATGTTTAGTGCCAAAAAAGGAACATTCATATTTATATTTTTGTGAGTGTTTTATTCTATAATATTCACTTCCATGTTATAATAAAAAAAAGGGCCACACAGTTGTTTTCCAAATAACTCCATCCACAAGCACAGTTGTCAGATCATTCATATTATATACATCTTAACATTATTTGCACATATATGAAGAAGATAACAAACATAGGATAACGTCATTAAATACATGTATTGCCACCAGCTTATTTCTATATATCTAATATATAAAGGAGAATGTTTGTATGTTTGTGCTCTAATAACTTGGACACTATAAGAGCTACCACAACCAAACTTTGCATGGGATAATCTTTTCTCCAGAAAAGGTTTTACTTTTGGACCCAATCGGGCCCAATCTCAATGTAAAAATAAAAAATAACCCACTGCAGCTCTGCCTCTGTCACCTGCCTGCGCTATGCTGCTTCAGAAGCCCCCCCCTCCCTAGGTCCCAGGCCTCCTGCCTGCAGCCCCCAGAGCCATCCAAGACTCAGCCCACCCCCCACATGCACAACAGCTCAGGCACCCGGCCCTGTCCCCTGTGGCTACAGTTACCAGGTAGTCTTAAAAAAAAAATGGACACTTGATCAGAGGCGAGGAAGAGGAACTGGCTGGGGGGAAAGAGGGCTGGCTGGGAGCGGGGGGGGGGGG